TTATGTAAAATAAACCAGAGACACTTATTATTCATATAACAAGTTAAGAAGTCATGTTTGTCCTATTAATAACCAAGAGATAAGCAAAGTGGACTAACAAGAAACTGCCAGCATAGATTTCTTTATGAGCACAGATTACTTACAAATTTATAACAAATAAAATACATAACCAATGATTACGAAAATCTGCATTGTAAGAGAAGACACATATACATACAACATATCAAAAAATAAAGCATTTCGCGGTCCATATACGTGCCATTGATTAAGCTTTATTCAAGGCATAATTTTCCAAGCAATTTATGTGCATCGACATCTCTCATGAAGAGCAAAATATATAACAACATGATTTTCCCACACTAAAAAACAAAAAAAAAAAAATCTATGACATGGCAAAAAACAATTTCTATCTCATGCTTTCATTAAAATTGGTCCCTTACATACCTATAATGAGGCTCATATCAGAAGCATTCGTCAATAAAAACAAAGAACTTTACCTCTTGATCACGCATTACATAGGTTACCTCATGAAAAACTTTCAACACCTTTGGCCAAAACTTTAACAAACTTTTATGAAATAAATTCATACAATGCCATCCTACTTGAACCAAAATAATGATCTACACCTTTGGACAAGAAGATCATCGATCCCTTTGTTATAATTAAGATGCAAGTTTGATCAAAGAACCTTGAAATCACTAGTCCTAATATCGACCAATGTCTATGTGTCAATATATATCAACATGTATTATAGTGTAGTTAAGAAGACATTACCTATTTGCAAAGAGTGCATCAACAAACAACATATTGGAAGTGTAAAAAGATGAATGATTACCTACCTGGAGAAGTCATTGATGAAACCAAAGAATAGCTTATACTCCGCAAACCATGATGTTAAACAACTTCAAATATTAAACATAGATTTATGTTACATCATTGGGCAAGAAACATAAATTGTCAAATATATATGCATTATGCATCCTTATTTGTATAGCTATTTCACAAAATTCACATTCCAACATGAATCACATCTTTGGACAAGAGACTAAAGTTGCCTTATGGAATCATGAAATACTATACACTGAGTCACAATTTGAGTCAATCATTATTTCTTTCTTTGGAAAGATTAGTCTCATGTTATAAACTGTTAGTCACAATTTTATGTAAAAATTACCTTGAACAAAACTTCCTAATAATTCTCAATTTGGTAAAAAAATATATAAACATTTGTTAAAGAATACTTTATCATGGTTATTGCTCCTGCAAAAAGCCTTTGGTTTCAATAACCTTGGAGATGAGTTATCTTTATCATGATGCCTTTCAACTTGTGTCTTTAAAACTTTATACACATGAACGATTAATAATGACAACCATAAACCACAATTAAGTTATTGTCAAATAAAATTACTGATAATCCCACTTTTTCGTGAAGATTATTTGTTTGGAGTCTTAACAAGATGAATCAAAATTGTTAGCGACATAACACTATATATATAGCTCTGCAATTGTCCAATTCATTAGCAAGCCATTAATTACCTATACATATATGTTGTTTTGGAATGAGAGTTTAATAACAAGTTTACTTGTATATGAAACTTGCCAGCAACACCACAAGATTAAAAGTACGTAAATACTACCTGTAGAAGCTATGGATGACTGCACGAGAGAAAAACTTCTACTCCCACTAATTAACTCAATTTACCTTTATTGATCAAGATTGAATGATCTATTTTCAATCACTAGACTCCAATATTTCAAGCTACCTTCATGTTAGACTTAACCAATATATTCTTGTAAGACAAGAATTAGCCATTTAAATCAATCAAACGCATATAACAAGTCTAAAGGACAACAAGTTTTTAATGCTACCAATTAACAACTTCAAATGGCAAGAAACACAGGCTTGAAATAGCATACATATATATATCAATATACACTCCAGTTTCATTAAGTTTGGAAAAATAAAGAATTATATATATCAGGCTTTCCCAACAAATATGAATCTAATCATTATCAGAGTGATTGGAAATAATGCATTGGATCTAGGGCCTTTTAGATGGCTCTGATACCAAATATTGGAATTAACCCTAAAAGCTAACAGTAAACCCTGGAACACAACACAACAAGATTAGTGAAACCTTACCTGAAAAGGCCACGAACACGATGCAAAGAGACTCTTCTACTCACTTGAAGACCTATATTCTTATGGTGATAGTCCCAAACGAAGAATAGTTTCTCTGTGAGTAGGGAATCCTTTTTTAAATAAAGCAAGGTTACCCAACTTCCATCTATCGTGGAGGTTGGTTATAGAGTCGTTGATTTCAGTTCTAATAGTGGAGGAAGTAGTTCTAATACGTGCTTCAAAATGAAAGCATGATGGATGTAACTCCTCAACTATAGGACATGATTTTACACATATACAAAACCCTAACTGATTTATAATTTCAAACATGTTGACACACGTTTATGACTACTAGTTGAGTCCAATTAGGATTCTTACAACAATTTCCTTAAAATTGAAAATGAAACTCTATAAAATAATTGCTTTCGATTCGATCCAATCATTGTATTCGATTTGGTCTTGAACCCATTAAGTCTTTTTTTGTTAGGCTTGCCTCCTTATGCCCATTTGATAGGTTGGATATGACAAGTTATATTCAATTAAAATGGATATGAGTCTAGTCTGTTTTTTGTTGTGTTAACATGTGAGATGGTCAGGACTGGATAATATAGGTTATGAATCTAAAATAAGGTGGGTTATGTAACCCCCCTTACACACGGGTTACAAGTCCAATCTGTCGCGGACGATGCAAGATGCCTTCTCCATTCAGTCATCATCTTTCCTCTGCTCTTAGCCTCATTGTCTTTTTCCATCATCGAGCGATCATCAAAGCAGTGTTGTGGTGTCATCCCAAACATCGTCATAGAGTCATCACAAGTATCATTGTGAGGTCATTGTCGCGTTAGATGATCTTTTTTTTCTCAAATTCTCATATCTGATTGCAGGTGGAAATCGCACACTTCTTTTCTCATAATCTCAATTGCAAATGGAAGTCGCGGGTTTGTGAGCGGCGTTGTGGATGATGGTAGGTTGGTAGGTTATGATTGTTTAGCGTCGATCTGAATGCATGAAGAGGTTATGGGTCTTGAACTTCATCAGGATTGATCGTCGGTGGATAGGTGGTGTCGTGGGTTGGTGAGTGGGCAGGTGTTGTATACAGTCATCGATCATCGTTGTGGTCACAACTTGTTTAATTGCTATTTCACGTTTCAATCTAATCCCAATCCAGTGAAGTTAGACTACACCAAACAGTAGACAAAAAGCCCATCCTATCTAATCCAATCTCAACTTAACCGGTCCAAAATACGAAATCCTATCATTTCTGGTCCACCAAGCATGCCCTTAGTACTTGAGCTCAAGCCTAAATTCAATTTACCTACAAGAATCCCCTTGTTCATATCGAATAACTAATCCCCACCCTCTATGCGCACCCTCCCTTCGCATTGCCCTATCATCATTAATTTTGTAACATTCATCTAGAGGAGGCCGCCAATGAACCACCTCACAATTCGGCATATCCCACCTTCATCGTAGAACAAACTTCATAGAATCTATCAAAATTAATTATAACTTTATCAAACTATAGTTTTGAAATCCCTTAAATTCGTCCAAAATATCATTTGAATACATCATTCCCGTCCCTTTTAATTGAATTTCAGAGATTTCAAGTATATTTTTAGTGGAATCCCTCAAAGTTTCAGTGGGAAAGGTAAAATTCATGAATTTTTAGAAGTACACAACCACTTAGTACTATGGTCTAGTGGTATTCCTCTTCACTTGTAAGTAAGTGGTCTGAGGTTCAATTATCGCTAAAGATGAAATTGAATCACATTATTATGGCAAGCCTAAGTGTAGATACTATCGTTTGTTAAAAAAACAAAGTACATTACAAAATTTCTTCAATTTCCTTGAAATTCTTCTTTTTAAAATCCTTTTAAGATGAAATCCGATTTAATACACGTGGACTTTATAAACTCTTTCAGAATCCTGATTGAATAACCCTAATGTTTTAGATAATCACTCAAAATCTCAATTGAATAGCTATGTTAAAATCCCTCAAAATCGCAATTCAATACCCCTTCCTCCTTAAAATGCGATGAACATCAAAATTCTTTTTGTTGAAATAAGAAACTATTTCTATCATTCTAGATAAACTGGTGCAGCATGGTAAACATTTCTACCACAACTTGTTGACAAAATTAAAGCTCTTTGAATCTTGAAATCAACTATTCTTTCCCTTTCATGCCCTAAACTTGATTGAGCCCACACATACACAAGGTTCGCTCCATCACATTCTCGAAGAGCATGCATAACATTCTCCCATTTCTCCACACTTTTCCCACAAATAAGCCAATCTACAGTCTTTCGCTCTGCTAAAATTAAGCTACAAGGCGTAAAATCTCACATATGGTGATGTACGAAAACATCACCACACAAAAAACAACATGCATTTGGTGTCTTGAGTAACTTATTGTTGTCCAAAAGAATGTTACCGACCAAAAAGACAAATGACGTGAAGTTGTATCTTATTCGCAACCAATTCCAAGAGTTCGTTTTCAAGCACATATGACTTCACTACAAGAAAAATGAGCATTGCACACAATAAATTATCTGTGCCCTTTGAGGCCAACAAGCACTGACAATTGTGCTCATAGACCAATAGCAACAGTGCAGCTACTATCTTTATGTTTGTGCCCTCTATGGGCGTCACCATTTCTAAAAAGGCACAATAGGGGTGTTTGTGCCAGAGAGGCCAGCACAAATAATGGCCCATTTGTGCCCTATTCTGACAACTTTTCAGATCAGCTTTTCCAGCTATGTTGGCACTTATATTGTAATTGTGCCAACATGAATTAATTAATTAAAAAAAAATCAAAATTTGAAAAATTGAATCTAAATTGAGGAAATGCAAAAATTTAAATTTTCACAAAATGAAGAATGCCTACAACCATGAAACCAACTTTCACTTTCTGAATCTCACAAACATATATTGTTGTGTTACATATTTTCTCTCTAATACCCAAAGAATAAAAAAAAAAACTTGAAAGCAAACATTTTTGGACAGATGCATCTTCCCAGCAGGCCTTGCACCTCATCAAATCTTTGCTGCTCCATAAACGAATTAATCAGATGACATGCAGTATATGGACTCTCACAGAAGTCATGAATAACAAATGCAAAGAAAAAGAAAAACCACACACTTTACAGGAGCAAAGAAAATGAAGGGATAAAGAAGGTAAGAAGGGAATACCTTTGTGGGAGGACTCTTATTTGCTTCAAGGGTCTTTCCACCACTTGCTTTAAGATGATTCTTATATAACAACTCCACCCTCCAGAACAACCAACAATGGATGCAGAAAGTATACAAATATTCCTCATCAAAAATAAGTTCACAAGTATTAAAAATAAGTCCACCCTCCATAACAACTGACTGTGCATTACTACATTGTTCAGACTCATCACACTCTGCATAAGATTACATGGCTAATTGCTCAAGGTTCAGATTTGGTGCAGAAATATTATCATCTTCATTTTGATTCTAGTATTCAAACACAAAGACCAGGGTACATTTTGGAACAAACCATAGAAATTGACCAAATGGAATTAATGCTATTAACAGCGACCATGGCCAAAAACTGTTGAAGATCGACATAATCTCTAGCTTGATGTCAGTGAGAAAAGACTCACTCAGCTAACATAGACTACTATATTCATCAGAAGCCAACACAAATATAGTCGAATTCAAAACACAATCAGTCCAAAATTACACCTACACAGAGTTAATTAAAATCAATACCTACAAGTTCCAGATCTGCCATCTCAAAGATTCAAATTCCTCACTTCAGGTTGTAAAAGCAATTTTTGGGTTGGAGATAATACATTCAGCTCATGGTCACCTGACTCACCTGAATCACAGAAATATATAAGTATGTATATTATTTATGGTCAAAGTGAGTTGCTTATTTTAATCACATACCTGGTAAATATTTGTTTAAGTTAGCATAGACAGTATAACGATATTGCATTTTCCATGATGAAACTTGTACTAACATGATTAAACATTAGCACCTTAAGAACTTCACATTTGAATACATTTTTTTGTGTTTCACTTCTGATTTCATCTCTACCTAGATTCAATTACTAAATCCTCTTCTTTCAATGCTACCACACCATAAAAGAAAAGTCAAAAACGAATAAATAATTATTGGGGGAGGGGTCGAATCAAGACAACTCCTAATAAATCAATAAAAAAAACTTACGCTTTTCCAAAAATTGAAGATCCAAAATCCTAAAATTCTAAGCAACATGGCTCCGTAAATATAATAATAGATATGAAATTCTTCCATACAAATAAAGAATACGAACCAGCAATGGGGCCGTGACAAGGCCAGGGCCTTTGAGGTTGCAGAGACAGAGTGAACAAGGCTCTAAACCGCTCCAATATGAGTTGGATCGGGTCGACCAAACCAGTCACCGAGAAACTTCACAGTATGAATTAACCAAAAATCCATCACATTCATATCCAAAATTGCATGCAACGGGCAAGTATGAAAAAAAAATGTAAAATAATTTCATAACTCAAATCCATAAGCAACGAGGCGAGATACAAAATATACATGTCAGATCTCATAAGATATAAACTCGAAACGAAAAAACACGAACTCAAATATGATGCATGGGTGGTGTTGGTGTTTTTCAAAGAAAAAAAAAACAAAGGTAAAACCCAGATATGAGAGGAGTGAGAGAGAGAGAGAGAGGTATAGAGAGACCCTAATCCAAAATCCCTAATTCAGAGATCGTTTTCAAAAGCCCTGATTCATAACCCATATTCAAAATCACTAACCGAATTCAAAATAAAACAATATCCATGAACTTGGGTTGAGTTTATTGCATGATATTCTTACCTTGTGGAGTGAGGAGGAGTGAGGACTACGACTGAGAGCTCGATTCGGGCAAGGTGGTGTGGACTGTGGGTGGAATCGCGATTCAGGGGACGAATTCACGAAGTGAAGACTGAGGATTAAGGATTGGTGTGGGTGGAGTCACGATTCAGGCGACAAATTTGGGTGATCCCACTGACGTGGGAGGATAGAGGAAGACGGAGAGCTCGATTTGGATTTGGGCAGAGGAGGCGAATCGGGTGAGAGACAATGAGAGTGAGGTTACTAGGGTTAATTATAAAACAACGATTTGAGATTTAAATCTCAACCAATCTGACGACCCACATAATTTTAAAATTAAATACATATAATATATATGTGTGAGACCAAAGTAATCCATTTGGTAAAGAGAGAAACGGATGGAAGAGAGAAGTGGGTGTGGGTGGGTTAAGGAGGGGAGAGAGAGTGTGTGGTGGGTGGGTTAAGGGAAGGAGAGAGAGAGAGAGAGAGAGAGAGAGAGAGAGAGAGAGAGAGAAAATGGGGTGTGGATTGGTTAAGGGTGTTGGTGGGTTAAAGAGAGGGAGAGAAAGTAAGGTGTGAGTCATAAGTCTTAGAAAAAAATAATAAAAAAAATTAATTGTGTCTTTTGAAGTAATATATAGACACAAATAAATATATTTGAATCCATTGTTTTGAAAAAGTTGAGAGAGAAAATTATTTGTGCCAACTTTGTAGAGAATGAGCACATTAGTTGGTGCCCTTATAGAAAAGGAAACAAATACAATTTTTTGTGTGTAAACTTTGTTCTATACCCACAAAATAAATATTTGTGCCCTTAATTTTGTATCCAAAGCCCTTTTTTTTTGTAGTGCTTGTCTACTTTAAAAGAATGAAAAGTTGAAGGTTGTATTACTTGAGGAAGGTCATAATCATGCTTTGGTTGCAACACCAATGAAGCATATGCTTAAGACCAATAGAAATATGTATAAGGCTCAAAAAGCACATGTTGATCATGTAGAAAAAGATAGGATTACCTCTTAAAGCAACTGTGGAGCTAATGAGCATACAAGTCGAAGGGCGTGACAATCTTGGATTTTTGGATCCAGATTATAGGAATTATATGCATAGTAAGCAAAAGAATAAAATGAAAAAGGGAGATGCTAGTGCTATATTGCAATATATCCAAAAATGCACTCGAATGACTCCTCATATTTTTATGCAGCAAATAAGCAAAGTGTAGTATTTTGTTCAGTTTTGTTGTATGATGAAACCAACTTCTTTTATGTGGCTGTTTAATATTTTTATTTCAGTAATGTCTAAAATAACAATTTTACAAATTAATTAGGTGGAATGGCAATGGCAATATTTCAAGTCTTTCCTGAATCTTGTCATCGTTTATGTGTTTGACACATTTATCAAAACAATGCCAAGAATGAGGCATGTTTTTCAAAGATCAGTAGAACTTGGTCATGATTTCAGCACGTATATGTGATTATAAGGATGAAAATGAATAGCATCTAGCATGGAATAATATGCTTGAGAAGGATAGCTTTCAAGAGAACGATTGGTTGTGTTGCATATTTAAATTACGAGAAAAATGGGCTTTGGTGTATGGGCAACATACTTTCACTACTGGCATGAAGAGTGAACAATGTCTTAAAAAAATATATGAAGCCAAAACGTAATTTTCTATTATTCTTTGAACATTATGAGAGAGTGTTGGCTGATCAAAGATATCCACAATTATTTGTTGATTTCAAGATGATGGAGACAATCCTAATATTAGCAAATGTAAGGATGATGTAGCAAGCAGTTAAGGTATATACCCAAAAGGTATTTTAATTTTTCCCAAAAGAGTATACATACTTTCGTAGTTGTAGCGTTCTCTGCCTACCACATCGTCTTCAACATTTTGATTCACAAAGTTGATATGTCTAAGATGACTATGGAGTAGAAAATATTATGTGCTAGCTAGTAAACGTCAACAAAACTTGTTTAAATTTGAGGCTTAAACTTAGATAGTTGATTGTAGTTGTGTGAAACTCACTTTTGTAGGAATTTTTATGTGCTCATGCAATTAAAGAGCTTGATAAGAAGAATATGAAAAAATTTCATCTCATTACATACTAAATCGATGGACGAGAGAGGCAAAGACTAGAAATATGAAAGATTACCATGGAATGAATGCTCATGACAATTCTAAAGAGTCTATGGAAAAATGCTATAACCATTTGTGTTGTAATTTTTGTAAAATTGCTTCCTTTTTTCGCTTAACATGAGAAGTTAACTAAATAAGTACGTTAACATTCAATTGAGATGCTCAAAGACTTAAAAGAAATAAAGAAAAACCTTGGTGAAAAAATAGATTGCACAAGTGTTCAAAATTTAAAAGGCAAGGCTAATTTAAGTGGTAAAGAACATGTTGAGATATGTCAGTGTTGAGCTTGAGAATTCTAATTTAGTTTTTTTAAACATAAATGTTGGGATATGTCAGTGTTGGTTTTGAAACAGAACAATATTTTCAAGCTATACAAAGGATTCAATGCACCAATTTATTGCCTTACTTTGAAATAATTCTTAGTTTTTCAATTTCATTTATCTCAGTATCTTCATTTTCAAACATATCAATTTCAACTCTCATTTTCCTTATGCCTCTTACATAATATAGCAAATGGAACTAAGTTTTCATTTCCAACTTCTAAAAGTTTAGACAAGATGACAAGTTGAACATTTTGACAAGTTGACAACAAAATGTTCTTTTCACTCAATTATTGAATGCAAATATAATAAATAAATATACAACTACAAATACATACAAACAAGTACATATGTGTATTCGATGTTCTAAATACTAATCATATTACTATATTTGCCCGTTTAACTTGCTGTTTGTAAGAATCAACAACAAATTTTAATGCTTTTTCACAAGATGAAGGAGTTTGGAAACTAATCAAGACGTTCTTTTGTAGATTTTTAGCAAAATGAAAAATTAGAGGTGTGCACATGTGGAAAAAATGGAAGTATATTATTTCTGTTGTAGATCTTTTGCAAAAAGAAAAATTGGAGATGCGAAGACCACCCATGATATATTGGCGTTGTGCAACATGAAGAAAAATTGGGAAAATGTCTCCTTTTTTGGCAAATTTTGTGCAATATAGAAATTTGAATTGGAGGTTGTGCACTATTTTCTTTTTTAATTGTACTATCTTAAGTTAAAACAACGTGTAGCTGTCTTTATGTTATTGGGAAAACATGGTGAAAGTTCCGTTATTTACTATTGTTTCATCTTCCTTTTTGTTGTAATACAGAATGACAAACAAACATAGCATAAGAATAAAAAACAATAAAATGCGATGGATTTCCTTATAAAAAAAAGGACGATGGCTTTGCTAAAGAAGACAATGAATGAGTTATTTTCTCTACAAAGTAAGCAAGGAATGATGGATGCTAGTAAGTGAGGGTATTCTAGTATTTTAGATAGGTATTTTTCATATTGAACAATTTTTTAGAGAACAAAAAAGGTAGATTCATATTAAATATTAAGTTGGGCATATGTTTGGAAAAAACAATACCATATTTAAAGAAAAATATCATGCCCAACTAAGTATTTTAGGAAAAATATCGTCCCAATGAATTGTGACTAATTGTGAGTAAATATTATCCGCAAACTTATTTCTTTTAGAGTTTTGTAAAGTTCCTTTAGAGTTTTATAAAGTTTTTTTAGAGCTCAGGGTTGACTTTGAGGGTTTAGGTTCGTTAATGTTTGGGGTTGATGATTTCAGGTTTAGAATTTTAAGGCTTTTTAACCAAAACGGTCCCTGAGATTTGCATAACTCCTCATTTTGGTCCTTGAGATTTGAAATAGATAGAATTGGTTCATGAGTTTGTCCACAATCAATCATTTTGGTCATTTCATGAAAAATCTCCATCAAATAAGAATAAAATGACAAAAATACCCTCAATTTTGGTCATATCATTTCGGCCTATTTTTTATTAAATTGAGGGTAATTTTGTTATTTTGATCCTTATTTAGCATAATTTTTCTTTCAAAAATCAAAATGATTGATGGTGAACAATCTCAAGAACCACTTTAGCTAAAAAGTTGAATTTTAAAGTATCTCTAGGAGGAATTTGAAGCATAGGATATAGGCCTCGGATTTTTGGACGTAACCCACAATTCACGAATTAGATGGACGTAACCCTACCATCTAAGCGATTAATGTAGCAAGATTTTTTTTTCCCTCTAAAAACAAATATCACGGATGCAAAGTTATTGGAACAATTTATGACATATATGGCGTTATGATGGTAGGGTTAGACATTATTATCAGTTCAACTAGCGAATTAGTTTAGCTTTACAACAAGTACGTAAATTTAAATATATATTGAAAAACTAACCAAAACACCCAAAAAAAGTTTCATTTTAATCATCAGGACATAACAATTTGATAATACCCAAATTGGGCATGGGAAAGATAACAAGGGAAACAAAGCATTTCAGGGATATCACATGGAAAAGTAAATAAAAAATAAAAAATAAAAAGAAAAAAGAAAAAAAGGGCTCCAGAAGACAGCCATGCAACAAGCTCACGTGCATTTATTAAGACAAAGTAAAAGAAGACAAACAAGTTCACATGCAAAGCAAAAGAAGACATACCATGTTTCAGAAACAGTGCTGACAATTTCAGCAACAATAGAAGATGACAAGTACCAATGAGATGTCCATACCATACATTTGTAATAATTTTAATTTTTTATATCTGAGTATCCTCATTCAGTCTATATACGAGGAGTTCCATTCATTGTAAACACACTTTAACACAATACTCACCAGATACACACATCATACTTTAATCCTCATACACCCAAACATCCGAAACCTTACTAGCATTCTTTGTAAACACTTCTTTGTAAACATTCTATATATCAATAAAAGTTCAAGTGTACATATTCAAGCAATCTCCAAGTCTTAAGTAAGTTTTCTTTTCTTTCTTTAGTGTGTTTGTTTAATTAGACTTCTAATCCAAAACAGGGAAACATTAGTGTAGTTATATTATTAACCTATTAAACTGACGATCATACTTTGTTCGAGCACTCTGTTATAATTGAATGTTTGCCATACAAATAATTGGACATTAACCAGGGTACATCTGAGTTCTTTGTACCTCTGAGTTTAGCCATTAAGACCTTATACCTGCATTGTGAGTGGCCGTCATGCTAAAACATATCGAGTTCCATGTGCAAGGTTTTATGTCTAGTTGTTATAATGGCCATCAGACTGTTGAACCAGGCTTGCTATCCGAATTTGATATCAGAGCCAAGTTTAGCATTTTAATATTATAATTATAATAGTAAAGTACC